CTGAAGGTGTCCTTTTCCTAGGTTGTCAAGAAGATTTTTGTCAAGAGAATTATGGAATCAGTCCAGAGACCCTGATTTCTAGGACATCTTGGACTTTTGTTATGGAAATGGTAGAATGAGTGGTTTGAGATTCAAGTAGAGATGACAAACAGCTGCTTGGCTATATTAGGTGGGAAGAGCAGAAAATGAGCATTAAATTCTTATTCACAATGAGACAGGGTAGCACTGGAAGAGATTTTAAACATGTCATTTAAACTTCTTTTCCAGGATGAGAAAACTGTTGGGAAGGTAAATGATCTTGCTGATGCCACACTTTTTTCTTTCTTTCTTTCTCTCTTTCTTTTTTCTTTTCTTTTTTTTGTGGCCAGACCCAGGGCTACAGTCCAATTTTTGTGACCCCCAATGCCATTCACTTTCTACTTCACTTCACAGCTGTCTTTTCTGTTGGGAAAGGAGTGTACTACAAGCAAATTTCTTGCAATCCAAGAACATTCATGTGGTTCCTGCAGTCATCTATTTGATGACTCTTTAACTTCAGTGTGTTTAGACTGAATAGAATACATAAATACCTTTCTGTTAAATGTATCAGGCAATTCAGAAAGCCTGAGAGAGACTTCATCTCAGCTGATAGTGATTCTCCCCCTTATTTGTAACATTCAACATACATGTAGAGGAACATGGGGCTACTATATAAGGCAAAATCATTATTTTCTACGCTGACTTAGCAAGGTATTTCTCAGGGACGAAACCTGTTCCTATATCTCATTATTTATTAGAGTTAAAATGACTAAGGAACCTTACCAACACTGTTGTTGTGTGGAAAACAGAAACAATCCTATTCTGATCCTCAAATCAGGGGGAATTTTCCTGGAATAATTTAAATAAGATGACTAAGATGAAGAAGAAGAAATGAAGGGACACCTGAGAGTAGATACCACAGACACATGAATCCTTCCTCTAATTCTCTTTATGCCCCTTAGTTTGGGCCAGGAGAGTTCACTGTATAACAGGTAGGAGCAGCTCCACTTATTCCTGGTAAGAACCAGAAGGTTCACTCATGACCTGGGGCAGGACTGAAATCTGTAAGGTGTTTTCCTGGGTCTGGTGTTTTTAGTGAGAAAAATCTTACATTTGGGCCTTTAATTCTACTTCTTGCCATTTGACTTATGCAATGCTTTGGTTTTTCTTAATCTCATTCACTGTTGTTGCTGTTGTTTTCTTTAAGATTTATAGGCTTAGCTGAACTCTGGCCCTGTGTGGAAAAATGAAGTTTACATAGTTTATATCATATACATAAACTAGTGATTTACATTGATTTACACATGATTAGTGCCTAATTTATTAATCAACACAAAGTATGTAAATGCACTGAGAAGAAATCAAGATTTGAAAATAAGGTTTCCACAATATCCATAAACATTTCTCTGGTGTAAATGTTAAACCTAAACCTAATATTAACACCAGCTTCCTTGCCAAGAGTTAAATAATATACATGGCCGATAAAAACAAATTCTTGAATTTCAGTTGGCAACATTTGGACAACAAACTCAAATGCAAATGCCCACAGTTTACTTCTTTCCCCACTTGTAGGCATATAAATGTAAACTCCATTTTGCATTTAGTGAAATGTTTACAGATATTATGCCAACCGTGATAGGAAATTCACATCATTGGGGCAAAGGGGACTTTATAAATTAGATTTGGGTTTCTTAACTCAGCGTCTTATCTCAACATTTAAAAAAAATACATATGTTTGTCTCAGATTTTTAAAACTTTTTAAAATTGGGTCTAGCATTGCAATTAGATTGCTGTAAAACTGGATAGCTTTTGGGAACCAAGACTAAATTCAAGCTAAATGTTTATAAACATGAAGAACTAAATGAAGACATAGTCATTCCTAGCATACATTGTCTAGAAGCAGATTTCTTTTAAACATATAATTATAAAATGGGGCTCCATGTCTTTCTAAATTAAGCAGTTTCTTTTTTAATAAACCAAATTCAATACTTTCATTTAAGGTTAAACCATTCTTCTAATTTTTCTTATAATACATACATTATTGTAAATATAGCATCTGTAAAGATAAGATTAAAAACACACCCACACACACATACATATATTTATATATATAGTGTTTCTACAAATAATTCAAAGCCTGCAAAGAACAAAATGAGAAATTCAGGGAAACTAGCCAGTAGAAAGAGTCAAACCATAATCAACTCAAGGATGTATTTGTGAGTCTGGAGTGTGAAAGTCACAACTTGGTAGGTAATATCTCAAAACGATTTCATGCTAAGGAATTTAGGTGCTGTATGCAAAGGAGGTAAGTCCATCTTTGGAGGCGAAACAGATTTGTGCTTCTTTCCCCCAAGAACATGGAAATCACGAGTATTTTTCCAAGGTCTCTAGGAATAGCCCCAGTTGAGTGACTATGTAGTTTCAGAAAAAAATAAATGCTCAAGGCAAGAGAAAAAAAGAAAAGCAGTCTGAGTTGGAAGAAAGGCAAAATCTAGTGAGATAACCCTTCCCATCTACCTTTATATCACACTTGCTCCTTTTTGTACAAAAGGATTTTATGTCTTAAAACAAGAAAAATGTTCATCTAAGGAGGCAAAATCTTTTGGATAACCAACTGCACAGATTATAATTACAGTGATCTTGTTATAAAACCTAGGATGGTTCTCATTCTTTAGAAAGGGGCAAGGTCACTTCTACTTTTCTTAATAGTCAAGGGGAAGGATTTTGTTTTATGGATGATAAAGTTGCATTTTGTATGTAAAAGACATGAAGTATATTGTGTTCAAATGAATTGATGCATTCATTTCTGTCAGTATATTATTTCCACCCTGTTGTTTTTAAGTGCATTGGTTACTCACAAACAAGATTCTTGGACGGATTTATAGTAAGGTGATTAAATTCTAAAAAGTCTTGTGTTAAGATTCCATGATTTCTTGGGGTCCTTTGTCCGGCCTTATTCTCTGAGCTATGCTGCTGTCCATTCTCTACATGGTCTAAAGACATTTTCAGACTATGAGTGCTCTAGGGCCAATATTTCTTTCTGAAATGGGAATAGGAAAATATTCTTAATCTGGATCATATAGAGATCTCAGAATCTCAGAATCATATAGAGATACAGGAAATCACCATACTTAAAAGACCTAGGTTTATGTTCAATAGATGGCTTATTATAGCAAAACCAAGAACACAAATAGTGCAGTCATGGTTAAGTTGTTTTCAATGGGGAAACTCCTCCCATAAAACCAAGTCCTTTTCCTTGTGGTAAGGTGGAGACGGTAAGACCAGATGTGTGACTAAAACCTGTGGCAGTCCACCAGCATCTGTTCCTAAAATGAATACTAAATGACATCAGAACCATCAGCTCCTTTTCCCTTTCTGTATTTTTAAATTAGCATGCATTTTTCTAAAGTTTCCACTTAACAATGTGGATATCTGGTCAACATATGGGGAGCACATATTCTTTTATTCTTCTACTAAGAAGACCAAATTGTTAGAGAAACTTCTGTCAATAAATGAATGCTACAAAGGAACGTGGGTTTTTGGTGTATTTTACTAGTCTACCTTTGTGATCAAGAGCTTTGTCCTATCTCAAGATCTGCCATATATACTCATCCCCAAGTTGTTGTTTTATGTTGAAAAATCATGAGAAGAATGTGTCCTAAGAATACAGACTCCCTAGAAGAGTTTTGAAACACTTCCTCCCAGCCCCTTCTCTTTGTTCTTTCCTTTTCTTTCTCATTCTTTTTGTCTTTCTTCTTTGTCTTTCTTCTTTCTTTCGTGAATTTTCTTGTTTTATATAATATCACAGCTGTTTTCAAGGTTCAAAAACGAGATGAACTACCATATTTGGCTCTGGGTGATTACATTTTATTATGACCTCAACAATAAACCCCTGTCATTGCACAACGGGATCCACTTCCAACATGCCCATAGTGTAGGCAAACGCAATGGTTGGTTATCTGGCAAAGCTAACTATCTGCAGACAGCCAGCAATCTCTGCAAGACCTTACTCAAGAAAACTCTTTTGGTGATGTGGAGATGTCAAGCTTTGTATTGCTTACACAATTTCTATCGGAAGTAATGTCCAGTTGCTGAGATATTTGGTGAAAGGGTTAGCTCATATTTTAGTGTTAGTATCCAGATGACCCAGATGGATTTCCATTTAAATAGAACGGCAAAGGTGAATAGAATGCAATTTTTATTGGTCTGGCTTAGGATAATGATGAACCACTGTGAACACTGGTGCTACACACATCAGTGGTAGAAGAGAAGGGAGACAAAGTGGGTAACCCAAACAAAATATCAGCTTAGAACACCAGGGCAAAAATCTGCAAAGGAGTACACGGAATTATAGGCAATGCCTCACAGTGTCCCCAGAATGTGGGAATGGACTTGGGCATCTGTTCACTTTTCCTGTCTCCCTCGTTCTCACAATTTTATATCTGAAAGAGGAAACAATCGCTGCTCGGGGGAATTGATGGGGTAGATGCAGTGTTATTCGAAGATTAGGAAGGAGGCAGAACCGGGCTGCTTAGGAGTTCCATGTGGTCCATCCATCTTCCCTCGGGAGATACCACTTGGACACTTTCCTGACTCTGGGGGGGTTTGTTCAGTTCAGGCTGCATGCTCTACCAGCGGCACTGGGCCCAGCTGCAAACATGCCAGGAATTCTATGAATCCCTCTGACTTGTGACATGGAACACTCTGCTCCCCTAGGTCATCGGCATCGCGGGTCTGTCCCACTGTTCGCTCACCCCAATGGGTCTTAGGCACGTTCACGGACAGTGATATTCTGGGTGACTCCCGACTGGGTTCTGATGATGAGACTAGGAGGAACATGGGGGTGCTGGCCTTGGAAGGGGCACAGCTCAGGTTGAATACACACTGATGTCACGTGACAGCCATGAAGGAGAGGGGGAACTCTGCTCTTTGCCTCCCTCCCTTCCCCTTCCTTCCCCCACCCCATCATCTCCCCGAGCAACTAGTGACAGCCGCATCTCACAATTACAATGCAGGACAGCATCTACAGCACAATGAGTCTATGTACACACGGGCCATTCCCTTGGCATGCTTTAGAGAGAGACACACACACGCTCATACACATGTACACTCACTTGAGATAGAGAGACTTGGGCACACGCGCACAGTGGAGAGAAATTAAAATGGCACTTCCTAGCATTTGCGGCCTGATGAGTGCTCTGGAGGGGGAGGAGGGAGGAAGGGGTAGTAGTGAGGGTGAAGAGAAGGGGTGGATAGAAAGGGACTGTTTGGAATGAGGCCTAGGGGAGGATCGAACACACTGGGGGGGGAGGGAGGATCTCAAAAGTTGGAGAGTTCGTGAAGGCAGGAGAGCCTGGCCAAAGCTCAACACAGGGACTCCATTGATAGTCCAAAATGGCTACAGGTCAGCTCAAATGAAAAACAGAAGTAAAAGATCATGGCAATATAAACACCGAAGGTAAGATCTTGATTTCTTTTTTTCCCCACAAGTGAAAAAGGATGAAGGAAGGAAGAATAAAGTGTGTGTGGGGATTTGCTTAATTTCCAACTGGTATTTCTTGTCTTATTATTAATTATTATTATTATTTTTTTTACAACATCAGATGTCTTTAGCATGATAGAGTCTTTACACAAGCCTTCATTTGCTTAGTAGATACACACACATCCTGGTAGCATTTTGTTTCCCCACTCTGAAGTATAGGTATATTTTTATTGATGGACTTTAACATTGTTTAAAATGTTGTATCTGTTTCTTCGTTTGCATTATTTCTCCCTCATTTATAAACACACAAAACTGTGAAATAAATGTTCTCCCCCCCAATCTTGCACACTCTCTCTTTCTCTCTCTCTCTCTCTGTATCCTGTGTGACATTTTTGTGTGTGTGTGTGTATGTTTAATTATTCTTAAATTTTTATTCTATTAACATTTGCTGAGAAGGCAGAGCAGAGATGCTGCCAGCAGCCACAGTGGTACAGCCAGACTGATGGATCCATTGATTCCTCTCACCGATCCAGGTCCTGCAGAGAAAACAAAAGGGAGAGAGAGAGAAAAGAGAAATTATAGACTGCCATTCTAAGGGACAGCTGACTGCTGTCAGGAAAAGGTAGGCTAGCTATTGATACCTTTATACCAGTGCTTAGGAAGGGCTTGCAATTTCCCTAAGCTCTTGTCCACGGTGAGGTACAAGCATCTTAAAGGGAAATCTGTTGCTGAAACACTTAAGTCCAAAACTATTGCTGGAAAAACTCTACACAGGCTATCATGGCTGTCTGGTGACCCTGCAGCCCCTTGGCCACCCTGTTCCTCTCCGATGTTCTTTCCCACAAAGCACCATGAGGCCAGAGTTGATTGTTCCAGATTGAAGTTCCAAGCAACCCCACAGTGTGTTGTCCATTGGGCAAAACAGCTCCATCAATAAAACATGGAGCCAGTCCATGACTCCTTTGTGTCTTAGGAGAGAAATGATAATTATTTATTTCTTAATTTGGGAGAGAAATTGTTACAAAGTAACAGTTATGAATGGGTAACACTTGAGCAAAGAAGAAAATAAATCAACACATTGTAGTCTTAAGAGGAAATTGAGCTGCCCACCGCGGGCTCAATCCTAGCTACTCAGGATGCTGGGATCTCAGAGGATTGGGGTTCAAAGCCAGCCTGGGCAGGAAAGTCTGCAAGAGATCCTTTTCTTCCATTGACTACCAAATAGACTGAAGTGGATCTGTGGTTCAAGTGATAGAGTGCTAGCCTTGAGCACAAAAAGCTCAGGGATGGCACCAGGCCCTGAGTTCAAGCCCCAGGACCAGCATAAAACAAAAACAAAAACAATAACAACTCACCAAGGAACTAGGGACCTGTTTTTCCCCAAGCTCCTCATTTGCCATTTTTTTAAATTAAAAAACAAAACAACAGAAACAAAAAAACTCCAAAATCAAAACACTAAGGACAACATCAACAACAAGCGTGTCCAGTTGGGAAGTTAAAAGGCAGTTAAAGCCTGGAGCAGCCTGAGCTCTGAACCTGAGAATTGAACCTAGCATGGCTTCTCTTCCCTGATGATGCCTTAGGATTGCCAGCATAGACACAATTATGACTGTGTGCCTTCTTGACAATATAAAGAATATTATTTACTATAAAATATGAAGACATGGTCTTACTCACTTCAGTTTTGTGCTCTATATGAATAGAGCTATGGAAACAAATGAACAAATTAAATAACTAGCCCAATTAATTCTCTGCTTTTTGGAATGACTGTGGGCTCCTAAGAAAAGGCACTTTTGCTACCATGAAACATCTGCCTCATGAGGAAGTCAGACTCAAAAGAAATTCAGCATTCTGAAGTAAACTCTTGATGAGTAGGCACTAGAGTCCAAGGGATTTAGGCTTCGCTTATGTCCTTCCTAATCTACCCTTTCCATGTGTTTTGTCCCACAGGTTTTTCAGTTTTAGCAGCAAAGTTCTTTCATTTGACATTTTCTGAGCTTCTAGTCCAGTGATACTATTTTACTTCCTTACCCTTTTAGTTCTTCTCTCTACATTAGATAGCCTGAGCTCATGAGTACATTTGAGTAAATATGAATATATTGGTGAGACATTAGGGAAAGTCTACCTACAACTTAGGACCTGTGGAGTTAAAAAATTGATTCATGTTTTGCCCCTGGAATATTATGAAATGGGTGTTCAGTTGAAAAAATACATATCACATTGTGATTATCTCTGTAATCTCATGTCATCATTAGGATGTTATACAATCTTGACACCCTGGAACTGAGTGGCATTTGTGAAAGGCTAAAAGAGTTATGAAATTTAGTAAATACATAAAAATTTTAATACATAAAGCAAAATCCTATCATTGAAAAATATAACATACATTATATAGGCATAGAAAAATATGTTTAATATAATATTCTTGCTAATGCATTTGTATAACTCTATGTTTATATCTGTAAATAATAGTAAGTGCATATGCTGTAGATATATTCATCCGTACACATATGATATACAGACATATTTTTGGCTTTTTAAGTACACATAATACAGTTAATTGCTGCTTCCTCATTTTATTCTGTGGTATGGAGAAAGGCCTATGCTGATCAGCTTTCATTTTATCCCTAATAGTACAATTTTATATTTGAAATGTATTGTATGTATCTGTTAAATATATCTTATCTCCATTTCTACCGAATATTACTTATCAAGTGCTCTCAGATAGCTATTCCATGTGCTTCTGTGACTTGCTCTTGTCATAATTGATTTTGAGAGTAAATAAACAGACTTGAGAAATGCCAGGCTAACGGGTGATAGCTGGAGAAACATCACAAGTGTTCACACAATTACAGATATATGTGACTGCGTAGGAGACTACTTCAGCTAATGGCTATTTCAGGGAAGAATAATCAGCAAAATCATTAATTATGTTCTAGTTCATAGTTATGAAATTTCTGCTTATTTGTGGAAATGCAAATGATAAAATCTTATTTCCCATGCCAGATGGCCGGGCTCAGCACGTGCTTTCATATACTGACAGATATAATGAAAGCAAGAGTCTGCAAACATAAATTAGTCTTAAGAATAGATGGGCAAATAGACATACAATGCAAAAACTTGAGACATGTTTTCCATCTAACAAACAACAATCCTATCTTTGTATATAACCACATTCTGTGAACATATATACATATAGGCATAGATATATATATATATATATATATACATATGGTATATGGTAGTTAGTAAATAATGGCATCATTATTAACATAGAAATTTGGATTGCAGAAATAAATGAAATACTAACCTGAATCCAATATATTCATTTTTTAATTAGATCAAAGCTTTTCATGTTGAACACTAAGGAGAAAAACTCAGTGGTACGACTACAAGTCGGTGAGTCAACATCCAGAGACAAAGCAGGGTAGAGTAATTGAGATATTGGGTGAAAACTGTGTGGTACCTTGGGGTAACAATGCTTATAGAAGGTGCACTTAGCTAAGTGCCGGTGGCTTTTCCCTGTAATCCTAGTTACTCAGGAGGCTGAGATCTGAGGATTGCAGTTCAAAGTCAGCCCAGGCGGAAAAATCTATAAGACTCTTACCTTCAATTATCCACCAGAAAACAGGAAGTGCTGCCATTGCTCAAAGTGATAGAATGCTAGTCTTGAGAAGAAAAGCTCAGGGATAATGCCCAGGCCCTGAGTTCAAGCCCCATAACCAAAAATTAATTAATTCATTAATAAAATAAAATAAGGTACAATTATTGATAAATTTTCTGAAGTTGAAGAATACGAGTATTCCCCATCCTTCCTTTATTCTTTCCTTGTTTCCTTCCCTCCACCCTTTGTAAGCAAGTCTCTATACTGGAAACTCTGTTACAGGTTCCAGATCCATTGGCATTTCACTAAAATGTCAAAGAAAGAACAATGTGTTGTTGATTTTAACACCTGTTTTAAATGAGCCTGTACTTTCAGATACTTTGTAATTCAGATCAGGCCAACAGGTTTGTGTTGTTTCATCTGATTTCTCTGGGTCCATTTTCTGGATTGGGGAATGGATTTATTCCATACCATCCTTAATCTTGCCCTAGGGACCCCTGGATACTCTTTTGAGACATGAATGAATCAGAACCAGTCAGAGGAACTAAGTTTAAAGTCTTTAGAATTGTCGGGGGCTGGTGGAGTGACTAAAATTAAAAAAAAAAAACAACTAAACGATTTGTGAAAAAATGTTAATCAGAGGAGAACCACAATCTAGAGTTTCCTACATAGCTCTCTTTGATACCTAAATGTTTAGGCAAAAGCCTGTGGTTGTAGTGTCTGGGGAAGCCATGTTGACAGGGAAGAGTGATAAGATTGACTTTGGCGCCCCCTGCCATCCATTTGCCACTACTACAGCTTTGTCTGCATGAATGAATTGGAGATTCAAGCCCGCAATGTACAGGCAAGAGGAAGACAAGTATTGATGTTTTCTCTTAGTAATGGATTTAGCACTAAATGTGGGTTCTTCTTATATTAGTCTGTGTTCATTGTTTTCAACCTCTACAAAGTGAGATTAAGGTAGGCTGAAATATTTGTACAGATAAACTAGGGTCATTGCATGAATTTTAACCCCCAATCCTTTAAAATTTTAGTGATTTCTTGTGGATGTTTACCTTAATGGTCTTTGAATTTACAAAAAACAACAACAACAACATTTCATCATCCATATCAAAGCCCTAAGCATCACATTTAACACTTGTCAATTAAGATAACATGTAATAGGTATATTATTATTATTATTTTGGCCATGGGGATTAAACTCTGGGCCTGGGCTCTGTCCCTCAGCTCTTCAGCTCAAGGCTGGCACTCTACCACTTGAGCCACAGCGCCACCTCCAGTTTTCTGGTGATTTATTGTAGTTAAGATCTCACAGACTTTCCTACTTAGTCTGGCTTTGAACTTTGATCCTCAGATCTCAGCCTCCTGAGTAGTTAGGATTACAGGTGTGAGCCACCAATGCCAGGCTCTGTGTGTGTGTGTGTGTGTGTGTGTGTGTGTGTGTGTATCTATATATAATTAAATGTAATAGGTAATTTGAGGATCATAGCTAGCATTAGGAGATATGGGCTGTTTTATGGTTTTGTTTTTGTTTTCGTTTTTTTGTCTCCAATGACCCTACTTCCAAATTCATCTTCTGGACTGCCTCTTTCCTGCTGCCTTGTGTGTGGGCCTGTTAGCAGACTGTAAACAAGCGAATGAACCTTTACTGGAAGCCAGCAACCAGGTACTCATCATCTTTGGGGCTCCTAGATTCTGGGAGAGCCTAAGTCCCACAGAATAGGTGTTGACTCTTGATAATGATCTTGGATGTCACATGTTCTTTGGAATTCAGAGAAGAACACACCTTCCTATGAGAAAATCACCAATCCAAGTGGGTGACCACAAAGACTTAAAGGTGGTGGTGTCCAGCCTGCAGTGGCTCTAGTGTGCCATAAATATTATCTATTTGGCTTGTGGAGAAGGCAACTCAGAATTAGAAGTTGTTTGAAT